ACTAGACATTCATACGAGTTTACTTCTCTATACTAGATACACATTCTTTTTCTTTTTGGATCATTTGTCACTCGAAACTATTAGTTGTAAAGTGGAACTAATAGGATTGATATAGTTGACTATTGAATTGAATGCATGTCGCTCGTTTGGATTTGAATGAGATCGTGAATATAAAAGAATAGAGCACGGATGAAATTTGAAATTATAGAACAACCAGGGGTGCTACAGTTTGAGACCCATCATTTTATTTTATCATCAATTCAATTATTGATTATGTTTTTTTTTTTTGTTCCTATAGATAAATGGATCTCTTTATTTATATGATATATATGTATCGTATTTATTGAAAAAATAGATTTAATCGATGGAATTTGTTATGAAACTTAGGAAATCAGTGATATAAATAAATAAATTATTTATTATTATTATTATTATTATTATTTAATATATAATAATGTATTTATGCTAGTTTTTTTTTTTTAAATAATTTTATATTTAAAATATTTAAATAAATTTTTTTAAAAAAATATTTTTTGGGGTTTATATTGATGTGACTTTCATGCCAAAGTAACATTTTAAATATGTATTTTTTTTTGCAACAATAAAAATTTTAAAAAACCCAATAAATAACAATAATAGTACACTTTAAAAAATATATATATTATCTAAAAGGCAAATCCACCAAACAAAAATAAGTGGAGAACCTACATATGTATCTCTGTTATATATGTATATATGTAAACTTTCAATCAAACAATTAATTAACTTTATATTATATAAAAAAAGAACATTAAAAGGAAGGAAGGGTTTATCCAATGGATTTCCACTTTCTAGGGTTAAGCGTGGCATCTGCTGTCCAATTGGACGGGGATTAATTTAATCATCCCTTAATCTTTGTTAATTAAACTTTGTTAGATTCTTTTATTGCCACAAACTTTATCAATTGGACAGATGTTGTAAGCTTTAAGCTTTCTAATATTTTTTATTCCTATGGTTATTATCATCATTATTTTATAAATAAATGGTTTTATTGGGTTTAGTGAGCATTTTGATGTGGTGTAATTTATTATGATGTGGGTTACCAAAAATATTGTTAAAATAAAAATATTTTTTAATTAAAAAATATTTAATATTTAATAAAAATAATTTTTAAATATAAAAATTGCAGTTATACACTTTTAATTTTTTGATTTTTGATTTTTTTAAAAAAAATTTCCAGACATTTGATAAGACTAACTGCCCACTAGTTCTGTCACACATTATTTACCAACAAAAAGGACTTTATAACTTTGCTTAATTTTAATTTCATATATTTTTAATATATATTAAATAACAATTTTTTTAGTTTATTAATTCAATATTGTTTTCATATAATTAAGTTGTTAATAATAAAATAATTTATCAACTAAAACTGATTAAAAATATTTTATTATAAAGTAAAAGAATTTAATTTAGGTACATTTAATATTACATGAAAAAGAACAATATATATCAACATATTTAAAGTCATAAATATATTTATGTATGCATGAGAACATTACAAATTATGCACTTTTGTTATTTCTTGTTGCAATTATTTTAAATCAGATTTTAATAGAGAAGTAATTTAATGTTATATAACCAACAATCATTATGTTAGTGATCATATTATATCCATAAATGTAACTATTAATAAATAAACATATAAGTGAAATAGCAATAAAATAAAATTTTTAAAAAACTTAAAGGAAATTTATATAACCATTTTTAAAACAAAAAAAAAAATAGAAAATTAAGGCTTCTAATTAAATTTCAAAGTAACCATTACACTTTATTTTAATATTTAATAATATTATTAACTTTATAATTATCTTGAACTAATTATTAAAATCGTAGTAGTATGGTAATTAAAATTTTTGTGTTCAATTTGAAGATCACGAATTTAAATAAAAGTCGCTACTTTATAAATACATTACGATTATCGCTAACTGATTTATAATGTTTGATTAAATAGAATCGGTATCTTATTTTATTAGTGAATATATAAATTAAATTGATTTAAATCTTAAAAAGTATATTGTGAAATATTTAATTATTTAATTTAATTTATAAAATATAATACTGATAAATTATTATTTAATAATTCTTAAAAATAATTTATTTCTCTCACTATTATTTTAAAATAAAATTTTAAGCAGAAGTTAATTAATAAAATACTACTAATATTTACCATAATTGGCAAACGAGAAGAAAAAACAAAGAACAAAGAATGAGAACATTAATGCATGAGCTGGACTCCATTGCTGAAAATTTTTCCATGCTCTGAAAAAACCAAAAGGAAAAACTTTCTCTGTTTTTGCCTTCTGTCTCTCAGATTTCTTTTTAAGAAAACCATTTTTTTTTCTTTGCTTACCCTTTGTTTGTCTGAGAGAGAAAGTGAAAGAGAAAAACAAAGAAAATAACAGATACCCTCTCTGTCTCTCACTCTCTTTTTAGCTCTATAAGTTCCTTTTTTTGAAAAAATATTATGGGTTTTTGTTGTTGTTAATGGTAAAATTTAAGAAAATGTATAAATAAAACGAAAATTTCGTCTTTATATTAATTTAATATTATAATAATCCTAACCAATATGGGTTACATTAAACTAAATTAAGCATAAATCCCCAGCAAATGGGGGTGTACTGTAAAATTTTTACTTTAATATTTCTCAATCTCTGAGCCTTTAATGGCCTCTGCCCTCTCTTCTTCTCTTTCTCTTCACGGTTGTTCTTTTTGGGTGTTTACATGTGCTCATGCTGTATCTATGTATCATCTCTTCTCTCTCTTCCTCTAATCCAAATTCTAGGGTTTATCTTACTGTCTAAGCACTGGAGACTCTACACCTCCTGTTTCTTTTTACTGTTCTGTCTTTGACTTGGTATATCTGGTATGCTCTCTATCTTTTTGGCAGTCTCATAGTATACATGTGTAGCTATGTTATAAGTATATATATATATATATGTATATGTTCATCTCTCTGTATATTCATATATGCATCCTTTCTGTTCCGGGTACCCTTTTAGCTTTTCTTTATCATTTTCAAGGTCCAGTTGCATGTATGTACATACAAACACATACAATATATATAAATATATCTATACAGCAGTGTATTGGGCTAATGGAGATTTTAAGCTTTAATAGTTTTATGGTTTCTGCAACTGTTTTTCACTTCCTTTTATCAAATTCTGCATGTCCAGCTTGTTTAGTTTTTTTTTTTCCTTCTCTGCAAATAATGTTGAATCCTGAGTTTTTTTTTTCCTTTTTCACCCATGAAGCTTATATATATTGTTCATTTTTGTTCTTTATCTAAATTTTCTGAACCTCTTCTCTGAGTTCTCTTCCTCTAGGTGACAAGGAAGTGTTAGTATTTGACCAATTGCTGGAAATGAATATTGATTTTCGTATTTATATTCCAATTTTCATTCTGGTTTTCAGTTCTTTCATTTTCACTCTTCTACTTTTTTTTTTTTCTCAAATTATGACAAGGAAAACAAGCATGATCTAATACTACATGTGTTATATATGTTCTTTTTTGCAGGTTTATTAACTAGTAAATGGAATAGATCTTTGTTTGGCCTGTCTATCTGTTCAATCATTGATTTGAAAATTGATCATTCTTTTGTTTGATGATAGTCTGTCTTGATATCTATTTTTTACCAATATGTGGAGTTTTAGATAAATGTATGTACATATAAGATACTATTTGTATTGTTTTTGGACCCAATCTGTTGTTTATACTTATTTACTTGTAAGCTACTTGGATGGCTTATGATTGATATTGGATTTGCTTTGTTCTTGACTTCTTTGGTCAAACTGACAGAGAGTTCCAAGGTTCAAGAAGTGTTTGATCAATGTCTCGAGACAAAGAAGCAGAAGGTGAAGAGAGTCAGACCGACTTCTATTCCCCTGCACTGCAGAAACCTAAAATCTGTGAGGTTAATTGGATACCACAACTGAACCTGGAAGTAAATTCCGGTGATGAAGGAAAAAATCGCTGTAGTTCCTCAGTGGTCCAACCTCAGGATGCAGATTACTCGTATGTTGTTTCCCAGCTCAGTGATGAGTTAGAGATCTTGATTCTGGCCCGGTTTCCTGAATCAGAGTACTGGAAATTAGGCTTGCTCAACAAGCAGTTCTTTTGGCTGCTGAAGAGTGGTGAGATATTCAAGATCAGGAGAGAAATCAGGTGTAGGGAGTCCTCAGTTTTCATGTTGGCTAGTGGTGATAGTTGCTGGTGGGAATTTGATCGACAATTCAAGTCATGTAGGAGTCTTCCGAATTTGCCTGCAGATGAATGCTTCCTGCTTGGAGACAAGGAATCTCTATGTGCAGGGACTCATTTGATTGTGTCAGGCAGGGAGATAAGTGGTGGAGTTGTGTGGAGATATGAATTGGAGACTGATATATGGCAGAAGGGTCCATCAATGATCAATCCCAGGTGCTTATTTGCTTCAGCCACTTGTGGGTCTCATGCTTTCGTAGCGGGTGGGATTGATTTGGAAACAAGTAGGGAAATACTGAATTCTGCAGAGAAGTATAACCCCGAAACTAGGTCATGGCATCGACTCCCACATATGCATATCCGAAGGAAGCTTTGTTCCGGATGTTACATGGACAATAAATTTTTTGTCATTGGAGGGAGAGACCAAAATGGAAGAGACTTAACTTGTGGGGAAGCTTATGATGAAGCTAAAAACACTTGGGAACATATACCAAACATGTTAAGAGATATCCCAGTTGCAACCCTGCAGTCTCCGCCTCTAATTGCCGTTGTAAACAACCAACTATATTCACTCGAAACATCCTCCAACGAGCTGAGAGTCTACCTTAAGGCCAGCAATACATGGAAGAAGCTAGGTTCAGTCCCGGTTAAAGCTGATTCTCATGGAGGATGGGGTGTGGCATTCAAGTCTCTTGGTTATGAGCTGCTTGTGATGGGTGCATCATCTGATTTAGAAGATGATGTAAGTATATACATTTGCTGTCCGGGTTCCGGTGGTAACAATAGCGAGGAATTGCGGTGGAGGCCTATCGATTGCTGTAAACGCAGGCTTAGTCATTTTATCCTCAACTGTTCTGTAATGGCAGCTTGAGGATGATGATGTTATATAGAAAGAAGTTTTATGAAGAATAAAAATAATGGCACTGGATTGTTGTGGTTATATATATATATATATATGTAACTTGGTTGGAGGATACATCATCCGTTGGCATTATTGGTGATAATTAAAAGCATTTTGCTGATTCCCTTTCTCTTGTATCTGTACTGATTCTGGGAAATTGAAAACTACAAAAAAAAAAACATATATGGATGTGAGTGTATGTTTTCTTCTTGTACTGTAAATGATCTTGGGAAGTTGATGTACAATAAAATCTTACGAATATGTAAATTTTATTAATTAAATAAAATTATGTGTTTTACATAAAAAAAAAAATAATTGATAAAAGAATATAAAACATAATATTTAAGTAAATTTATTAAATAAAAAGTAAAAATAAAAATAAAAAAAATACATGAAATTCTTAATAAACAGATTATAAATAATTTGAAGCATAATCCTAATTATGTTGTTGATTATACATTAATCAAATCAATTTTAGCAACTTAGACACCAATTCAAAATTTAGCCAATTACTTAGGCTATTAGGTTTTGTACTATTATTTATATAAATAATAATTCTAATTCGAACCCGACTTATTTAAATATGATTTAAGTAAGTTATTTCATTAAATAGTAAGTTCGGAATAAATCGAGTTCGGATGACGGAAAAATAGTTGTGGAATAGGATGAATTCGGATTTGATCTATCAAAACCTACTATATATATAAATATTTTATTAATATAAATATAAATATTCTCTAAATATTCTCCCTTGTTATTCCGATCTCCCCATAATTCCATTCATTAGACTTAAATGGGCCGGGTAATTATCCAGATAATGACCCGAAACCGAACCCGTCAAAATATGGGCAGAACGGGCAGGAACTACAATTTCCTGGAGAAAGAAAAAGAAACAACAAAAAACAGAGAGAGAACCAAGCAGAGCACAAAAAAGTCGTCCCCATCTCTGTGGCAGCTCTTTTTGTTGGGGGCAAAGCAGAAAGACAGCAAGCAAAAGCTTGAGCTGTTTATACTCTGTAAGCAATTTACTTTGTTCCCTCTTAATCCTTCAATTCGAATTTTCTCTCAGTCAAAAATCCTCTCTCGAGCTTGCCCTTTCAGTGTCATTTCCTATTTCCGATATTGAATTTCAGATTTTAGTGGTGTTTTATATGTTGGATTTTCGTGTTTTTGACTTGTTATTGTGTCTGCCCGACATGCTTTTAGTCCCTGGCTTGACGGCACTGACTAGGAGTAGAAATTGAAGCTTAATTCAGTGAATTAGGGTTTTTCTTTTTTTCCTCTTATCTTCTGGTTGAAAGATCAGCGTTTTTCAGGGATTTAGGAGACATAGTTTTTGGTTGTCTTACTTACTATTAGGTACACGTTAGTGGAGTTTAGCTCTTAATTAAAAGGTTCCCTTTTTTCGGGAATTCCGATCCTTTAGGTTTTTTTTTTTTTTTGGTGAGGGAAATCTTAAAGCTTTGATTGGCTTGGTCAATGGGTGGTGTTTATGTTGAGATACTAGAGTTAATGCGTATGTGAAGTTTGGATATTGTTAGTTGTTTAGTTATTTCTTGGTAAATTTATCTATTGGGGGATGTCTATGAACAACAATAATCCACCCAAGAAGCTTTGGTTCATCTTCCTCACCTTTCGGAATGCTGGATGGACTCTCCTTCTATACCCACGACCCGACATT